GGGATAACTAACACAGTTATTTCTGTAGCATCTCATACATATTCACTGGTTTTTTATTTAAAATAGGGTTTTTTGTTGTCTGAGATGTAATTGTAATTTAGCGGATTCTGGTGTATTTTTTTAAATCCAAATTTTTGAAATTTGGCGATATTTTACCTTTGAATTGGCGCCTTAAAAAATCCAAGGTGGCAACACTGGAATTCAGAATCTGAATGACCTAAACACTCCGGTAAAGTGTCTGGGTACGGGTGCGGCCAGAGTGCACTCAGATTCAGATTCAGATTCCGAAAACAAGCGCGAGAAATAAAGAGTGTAGTCGAAGGGTGCGGCCAGAGTGCACTCAGATTCAGATTCAGATTTCGAAAACAAGCGCGAGAAATAAACAGTGTAGTCGAAGGGTACGGCCAGATTGCACTCCTGATTCAGATTCAGATTCAGACTCAGAAAACAAAGCGCGAGAAAAAGCAGGCAACCTGCTTAGACTACACTGTTTATTTCTCGCGCTTGTTTTCGAAATCTGAATCTGAATCTGAGTGCACTCTGGCCGTACCCGTACCCAGACACTTTACCGGAGTGTTTAGGTCATTCAGATTCTGAATTCCAGTGTTGCCACCTTGGATTTTTTAAGGCGCCAATTCAAAGGTAAAATATCGCCAAATTTCAAAAATTTGGATTTAAAAAAATACACCAGAATCCGCTAAATTACAATTACATCTCAGACAACAAAAAACCCTATTTTAAATAAAAAACCAGTGAATATGTATGAGATGCTACAGAAATAACTGTGTTAGTTATCCCGCAGCAGTATAATAGGCTTTTTCCGAGTCTGAATCTGAATCTGAATCAGGAGTGCAATCTGGCCGTACCCTTCGACTACACTGTTTATTTCTCGCGCTTGTTTTCGAAATCTGAATCTGAATCTGAGTGCACTCTGGCCGCACCCTATGGCCAGAGTGCACTCAGATTCAGATTCAGATTCCGAAAACAAGCGCGAGAAATAAACAGTGTAGTTAAAGCAGGGTGGCCATAGTGGCCGCAGGCAACCTGCTTAAACTACACTGTATATTTCTCGCGCTTGTTTTATCTGAATCTGACTGCACTCTGGCCGTACCCTTTGACATAAACAAGACTCAGAGGTTTTGATTTAACCGCACCAAAAATTCTTAAGAAATTAAAAGGCCGTCCTTTACTTGACATATCTCTTCAACGCTGTGTTTAGAAATTGCGATGTGCCTGCATTATGGATTTTTTTTCAAATCATACTCATTCACAAGCCAGGCTACCCTACTAATGAAGCATCGTCATACCGACCTATTAGCCTTAGGGTGCGGCCAGAGTGCACTCAGATTTAGATTCAGATTTCGAAAACAAGCGCGAGAAATAAACAGTGTAGTCGAAGGGTACGGCCAGAGTGCACTCCTGATTCAGATTCAGACTCAGAAAACAAAGCGCGAGAAAAAGCAGGCATCCTGCTTAGACTACACTGTTTATTTCTCGCACTTGTTTTCAGAATCTGAATCTGAATCTGAGTGCACTCTGGCCGCACCCTTACACCGATATTGATTGCCCTGGAGTAAAAATAGGCAACAATGATATACCTGAGACCGACTGTGTCAAGTATCTCGGTTTCCATCTGGACAAGAGGTTAACTTGGAAAACACACATCAAACAGAAGAGTGACCAGATAAACATAAAGTTTAAAAACCTTTATTGGCTGATGGGTCGGAATTCAGTTCTCACAGTGGACAACAAACTGCTTCTTTACAATTCTATCTTAAAACCTTTATGAACTTACGGCATTCAATTATGGGGAGTGGCCAGTAACAGCAACATAATGTGCATTCAAACAGGTCAAAACGGAATTGTTCGAAACATAGCAAACGCACCATAGTTCTCACGAACAGCGAAATCCATGAGTAACTAATATTCCTACTACCTATAATAGAAGAAATATAACGCTGCAAGGAACGTAACTTCCAACGACTAACCATGCACCCAAACCCACTGGCTAACGAGTTGCTAGATACGTAGAATATAACTAACACACTCAGAAGACGTAATGATATTTAGCTGGGAAGCTGAGGCACTGGCCTCTGCTCTCATAGGCACTTTGCAGACAACGGGGCGGGGCGGGCCGGTCAATTTCGCCGCGAATAATAGCACAAAGTGAATCCTATACTTCAAACGCACACAGAGGGCAAAAAGACCGCGCCGCAGGTGCCCGGCGGGCAGTGGCGGCGCGGCATGTCCGCGGCTGCCCGCCGTGGATCATACAAACCAGTTTATATGCAGTAACGCAGACGGCGGCGCGGGGCGGTCAGCTCAGCCGCGCCACGCGCTTATTAGTGATGGACTATTCACTAGAACGAACGTCCTAAACTGACCGTCTCTGCCCGTCGTGTGCGGGCAGCCGCAGACATCGACGGGCAGACGCGGTCTTTATTGCTTCGCGGACAAAATGCCCGCCCCGCCCCGTCGTCTGCTCAACGCCTTAAAGTCATGCCGCATACAACAAAATTGATGAAAGTCCTTAAGGACTGATGGCAATTAAGATTGGGGAAAAAAATGTATCTTGGACAGGGTGTCCACGTCATAAACGACTTTAGGACTATTGGGACGCCTTTTATTTTTTATCATTAATGCCTCATTGCACAGCCTCATTGCCTCTGGCAATGAATAGCGTCTAGCCGGCACTTCACATGGTTATTCATATTTGCTATTGGTGTGGATTCTGACATGATTCTCTCAACTTAAAACCAAATTTTACATCCGTCTCCCCTTTTTATTCTGTATAGAAAATATCAAGGACACGTTGTTGTCAAATTTAAGTTTAGCTTTAGAGAATCATGCCTGATCATCGACACCAATTGTATATTTTTTATTCCCTACAGTAAAAGATTGTCCTTAAATAATATTTAACGCTCTATCATAATTAAATAAAGCTTAAGCGTAAAGCGATGCAAAATAAACAAACAACATACTTGAAGTTGATTTAATCACTGAAATTACTTAAAATAGTAGGCTCAAAAGACATGACGTTAAGCCACAAAAATGTAATTACTTAATTTTATGATTTTAATTCCAGACTGTCTAAGTCTGGAATTAAAATCCTCGTCAATCTAAATATATATAAAAGAAGAAACTGACTGTCTGATTGACATGTGAACGCACAGCCCAAACCGCTAGGTCTAGGGGTGCATTAAGAAACGATTTTTCAAAATAACCCCCGAAGGGGTTAAATTAGAGGATGAAAGTTTGTATGAAAAATCTTATTCCTTAAGTTAACAGACTTAATGGAATGGTCAAGTTTTTTAACGCGCTTTTCGATTAACTCGAAACTTGATATATGTATTTACTAAAAACCAGAAATAAAGAATATCATGTATCAGGGTTTTTCGAAATTCTACCCCTAAGAGGGTAAAAAGGGGATGAGAGTTTGTATGAAAAAAATATTCTTTGAATTAATAAAATTAAAACTTGGTACGAATACTTTTCTGAATAAATAATAAAGTTGGCCTTAACTACCCCTAAAGGGATTGTAGGGTGCCGAAGTATTAATTAATATGAATTATTTTCACGCGGAGTCAAATAACTCGAAACTCAGTATTTCTACTTGAGATCAGAAGTAAAGAATACATGTATCTAGATTTTTGAAATTCTACCCCTGAGGGGTATAAAAGTGGATGAAAGTTTGTATGAAAATTTGTATTCCTTGGAATAATATACTCGAATCTTGGCACAAATATTTATTTAAATAAATTATAACGTTTATCATTTTTACTTTCCCTAAACTACTCCCTAAAAAGGGGATTGAGGGTGACGAATTTTACTAAGGATGAATTTTAACGCAGTGTTCTAAATAGTAGAAGATAGATGATGCGGAAGTTTTAATCATAAATCACCTTGTATGGAAAACAAAAATTGCTCTAAGTGGTATCCCAGGCGTTGAATTTGTGAAACGCAAACCGGGGACGGGACGAACGGCTACCCGCAATAAAGAAGACGTTCTCCAGACAAAGATGGTTTTAATTTTGACATTTAAGAATTACACTTATGTAGGTAGTTTTATTTTGTAATATGCTAGGCGACGTGCAGTAAATTATTATGTGAACCGAGGCTAAAACATTACCGAAAGCGCTCTTTTTAAAAAGCCACTCTGGCTTATTCATCAAATTGAATAGATATTGACAACCGCGACGTAGTTCCATATAATCAAGTTCTTTTGAGAAGATTTAACGCGCATATAAACGTCGGAATTCGTTACTTAGTTAAATCAATAAAATACGTGTTCTCTTATTGGTCTGTGAATACGTTAGCAAATACATAAAAAAAGGGTCCGAACCGAACCCCTTTTGCTTTAGAAAATGAAAAAGGCGAAGTAAACATTACGAAAGTGTGAGGTATATAAGTAGTTTAGAGACGGTATGGAGAATTCTTAGATTTCCAATTCATTAATGCTTCCCTACCTTGTTTTATCTTGCGGTTCATCTGGAAAATGGCCAAAGAATGTACCTATTTAAATCAGCCAAACCTCATATATGATCTTACAAACCCACTAAAAACTACACTTCTTGCTTTCTTCGAGTTGTCGTACTGATAATTTCGAAAAAACCCCTTTTATATGACCAAGTACTAGCATATTATATATGTTAGGAGTAATTCACGATTCCAAAGTTGGAAATGTATAGTAAACGTAAATGGATAGCCTGGCATTAAAAAAGAACATGCTCTAAATATAAAAAGTGAATTATTTTGCTTAGCAAGTAAAACATACTGATATACCTACTTCATGTGTGAAGTATGTGGAAATGTAATCCAGTGCAAATACCACCAAAAATAACAGTGTAAAAAACTTATTTCAAGTATATAAAACAAAAGAAAAATAATAAATGATAATAGTGCTAGTGACAATAAATATATATTTATTAATTTTTATTTATTAAATCTAAATTAAAGATTTAGTGTAAATACATAGTTTTTTTACTGATGAAACATAAAATAACAAACTTAAAAAATCCTTGTGCCAAGTATACCTATTTGGAAATTTCGCAAACATATATAGGTAGTACCTATATGCTGCGTGACCGCAAGGTTTAAACAGCAGCAATGCAATCGCCGTTTGTCGCCAGTTCAAATCAAGTTAAAGGGCTGTCTGTTAATTGAAATTTCCGTTTTTGTCTGCACGACCAACAATATTATGATTGAGCACCACCTATAAGTTCTTCATTTACAATTTATGTATAGATGGAACTAATATATTGAAGATATTTTATGGGATAAAACTACACTTATATTATCAATATTGCATCTTTAAATGAAAAAAAAATATATTTGTCTTTATTTACATTAAATTGTCTAACTCATTTTGGATCAACTCAAATTGAAGAAATACTGAGTAAACATCTGGATGACTGAGTTCTAATTCAAGTTCCTCTTCTTCTCTTGCAAAAGTAAAATATGTTTTAGGCACTTTACACTTCTTGTGAAAGTCAGAGCTCAGTTCAGCATTTAATTTCCATGGAAAAGTCAAAGAATCAACAGAGTCATTAATTTTTTCTGTTCCAAGTTCATCCAATGCTATTCGTGTTTCTGTAGACCACACTTTAACAAAAACATCTGCTTTTTCACAGTTAAGGCCTATATTATTTAAATCTAGTTTAAGGTTGGCTGGCATAAATAAGAATTTTAACATTTTTTTAAACAGATAAATTATAGTTTTTATTGTAAGTAGCAACTTCTCCTCATTCATCTTGAAAATCTTCTCGAGCTTTACTTTCTCCTCTTCTGTAAAAATTTCATTGTCCTGTAATTTGCATTTAGCCACGATTCTGCGTAAAAACTGATCAAATTTTGTATCTTCCAGCTGATTGATCAGTGCTATACCGTTTTCTAAGCTGGAAAATAAAAACTGTTTGTTAGCAGACTATGATTTCCAGCCGCAATCCAGCAATAGCAACAAATCTAATATCATAAACGTCGTACAGTAATAACCATTTATAATAAAGTAAAAAATAACATTTTAGATGTAAAAGGGTAAGTGAAGAACCTACCTACTTACCTTTGAGACTTTTTAACCCATTGGGAGATCATATTTTCTTTCCAAATTAATAGCCAATCTTACAAATTTTCCTTCCTCCCTCTTCTTCTGCTTTATATTTTTTTTAAGATTTCAGAGCAGGCAAAGGAAACAATACCCATACAGCCTAGTCGTAAGTTTTATTAAATTAGAATGTCGGTGTGACGCATTCCAAATACTATAGAAACTCTACCGAATTCTATAGTATTTGGTACGAAATGTGTCGAGTTAGCTTTTTGATAATAACTGTGAGGTAGTCCACACTACAATAAAGTTCTCTCATCCACTTGACCAGAATAGAGTATATTTTAAAGATTAATTCTTAAAAAAATCACACCAATTTTATTTCACAATATCCACCATGAATGAATTTAGGTATTTACTATCTACAAAGATATTAAATACCGGTATTCAATATCGTTGACCATTAGTTACTGAGATTTGCGCGTTCAACCAAAAAAATTGTGCAATCGGTATAACTACGCAACAAAAATTTCACTATCAGTTTAATACACTTCTGGACACATCTATTGGCCCACCTTGTATTTTCAGTTTCGTTTGGTCCTAGCTAAAATTTTATATTAGGTCGAGCAAAAAGTTTTTGTGCAGTTTTGAACCTGGCACATTCACAATTTCATTCAATAGTCTTTTTTTGAATTTCGAACACAGAATTTAAAGAAACAAAAGACAATTTGGAGCCTGTTTGTTGATATCAAACAATCGAATACTAAAAAAAACTTGGTTTTATTGTTTTACTTGGATTTAATTCTTGAAAAAGTGATTGATATCTTTTAAGGTGAGGTTCTATCAATAATCTATGGATACTTCACCTGAAGTCGCCGCCCAAGCTGTGGCACTTATTCAGGCCGGACACAGCCAAGGAAACGTGAGTGCTCAACTTAATTTAAGTCGATCTGCGGTCCAAAATGTTTATCGGAGGTACCTAGAGACTGGCGGCTTTGTTCGTCGCCAAGGAAGGCCACGATCTCGGGTCACAACTGAAAGGCAGGATCGATTCATCGTGACGACCAGCTTGACAAATCGTCACCTTACCTCCATTGAGATACAAAAACAAATTCGCGACTTCCACGGAGTATCTGTGAGCGCTCGAACTGTTCGGAGAAGGTTAAAAGAACGCGATATGGTACCACACAAGCCAGCTAATGGGCCCAAACTAATGCGAGCCCACCGAACAGCGCGCCTTCATTTCGCACGCAGTCATTTAAATTGGACACAGCAAGATTGGAGCTGTGTACTTTTTTCTGATGAGTCTAAAATTGTGTTACATGGCAATGATGGAAGGAAGAAGGTCTACCGACGTAAGGGAGAGCGTTTCGCACAATGCTGCTTTGAAGAGAGGGTTGCTTATGGCGGTGGCTCGTGGACTGTCTGGGGCGGTATATCCGCGAGCGGCCAAACTCAACTTGAGGTTGTTACAGGACCACGGCTGCCAACATTAAATGCTGAAAGGTACATTCGTGAGTGCTTAGAACCTCACGTGATACCATACGCGGACTATGTGGGCCCAAATTTCCTTTTTATGCATGATAATGCAAGAGCCCATGCGGCCGGCATCGTCAGGGAATATCTTCGGGATGTGAACATCACAGTTATGGACTGTCCAGCCAGAAGCCAAGACATGAACCCCATTGAGCACATGTGGGACAAGCTAAAAAGACGTGTTAGGGCTCGTCAGCCAGTTGCCCAGACGATGCAGGAGTTGAAAACTGCCAAAGAAGAGGAATGGGAGATGATCCCTCAAAATTTCATAGAGCGGTTGATAAACTCTATGTCTAATCGTATGAGAGCTGTGGTAGATGCATGCAACGTACACTAACACCTACCCTGGGATCCTCGTAGCTGAATTTAGTGATGCAATCCCACTGATGCACTCCAACATCATGGGAGACACTTCCCGCGACCCGTACTCCTTTCTCTCCAACTCCAATTAATCGTTAACCCCTCCCTTATCCTGAATCCTGTCACTCCTTAAGGCCGACCCTAGCAAAGGCCTTCGGCTCTACCGGGAAAATGGGAGGCGGCCCGGTAGACTATTAGCCTCTCCTGCGCTATGGCCTGCGCAGTTGAGCGCCGTAAGGGGGGATGAAGGAGTCCTGGAGGGTTGAGTGAAGCGAGGTCGGCGGTAGTACCTTCGCGACACAACACGCCCTCTTTAGTCCGGATTTCAACCGAAACGGTAGCCTCTTTGGGTAGCGTCAGAGAGGAAACGGTCACGCGTCCCGTCAGAGGGCCGCAGCGAGGAGTGGAGGGGTCCGGGGCGGCTTGCCGCTCTGGATGGTTAGGGTCATGCTGACGAGGCAAGGGTGTGTGGAACAACTGAGGTACTCTGAACCGGTAACCCAGCCACACACTTCGAGCTTCCGATGGTACCACACAACCTGACACCAACTCTCTGCTCCTATATCCAGTCGGTAATCCTAGTGCACCACTATGGGCACTCCCAAATGTGCGGGCTCCAAGGAGGGTGGGAAGCTGACTGGATGTTTTTTTAACACCACAAACAATGGACACTAACAGGTTCAACGTTCCGCCAACTCCCGATGGGAAACCAGAGGGTACTGCTGCTCGCTCGCAGACCGAGAAATCGGAATGCCAGCTTGAGGAAAGCAACACTACACCTCAGATTGAGGACACATTGCAACTGCTAGAGCAGAACTGGACGGTCCTGGCCCGGAAAGGAGCGAGGAAGGTAAAGGAAACTCAGACCCCTGCACCATCCGGTCAGACCTCTAGGCGTTTGGAGAAGCAGAGGGAGCGGACGCGAAAGAGACGGCAGCTCAAACGGGCCTCCCGTTTGACGGCTTCTACTAGCGACCGTATTGTCCAGTCGGAAGACAAGGGCTCTGGAACGCCAGGGGGAGCGAAAGGCAGCCAGCTGCCCAAGCAACCCCAGGTGATGCCGGGCCCGAGTCGGAAGCTGGACCGCCCAAAGCCGAAGGGGAAAGGACCCGCGAAGACGAAGTCTGGGGCCAAGCGGGCTAGGCTCGATGAGACAGTGTCTCCTCGAGGCGAATCCAAACGGCCTAAGACGACGGCGACCGAGACCGCCCCAAAATCCTACGCGGCTGCAGCGGCCTCCTCGGCTCTCATCAGGTGCGCCGTCACGTCGAAGACCGGGTTTATCTCGAGACCGACGGCGGAGCAAATTGAGGAGAAGCTCGAGGAAGCCTTTTTACAGGCAGCGATGAGCACGGAACGTCCGGCCTGTATGAGGGAGGGTCTAGCATTTAGCGGGAAACCCCTCTACGCGGACGGGTGCCTTCACTTTACTTGCACCAACACCGCAACGTTTGGGTGGTTCCAACAGGTGGTTCGAGACCTCCACGACTCGGACCTGGGAGAGCTTGTTGTCCTCCGGGACGACGAGATCCCCAAGAGAGTCAGGTGTGGTTTTGTGCTGCCTAAGCTCTGGAAACACGATCAGGCGTTGCTAGGCAAATGCCTACAGATCGGGAATCCAGACCCGACACCCGAACGTTGTCTGCTTAACGGCATCCAACAGCAGCCTTCCATCGGGGCCACATTCGTTGTGGTTTCGATCCCTGAGGACGTTGTGCCTGCGATCCTGGCTAGGGGGCGCCGACTCAGCTTTATGTTTGGGTCGGTGTACCTGAAGTTCAGGGACGCCAAGGGGAAGTACGTCGACACTCTGCCGACGTCCAACCCCTCAGCACCACTCGGGGCTCAAACCACGGCGAACACCAGCACCAGCGCCCCCAACACCATCTACATCTAGCGCTGGCCCCACGGACACCGTCGTTCCACGTGCCTCGTCACCGGCTGTCAACCCACTCTCCGGACTGCCAGCTTACAGAGCAGAAAACTTGGCAAGATGAACCTCCAAGTACAACAGAAGGATGCTGGAGACTAGCAGAGATGGCAATTACGCCAGAGGGAGTAAAGTGGGCTCTTAACTGCTTTGCGCCTTTCAAATCTGCTGGCTCTGACGGCATCTTTCCAGCACTACTACAATGGGGCGGACAGGACGTGGTCGATGCGGCTACTCGTATACTAAGATCATGTCTGGCTCATCGGTACACTCCACATCTGTGGAGGGAGGTCAAGGTATTATTCATACCCAAACCGGGTAAAACCGACTATACTAACCCTAAATCCTTCAGGCCCATTAGCCTAACAACCTTCTTACTTAAGACAATGGAAAGGCTATGTGACAGATACCTACGCAGTGGAGCATTAATCAATGCCCCACTACACAAACATCAACACGCCTACAGTTCAGGTAAATCTACTGAATCGGCTCTCCATCAGTTAGTCGGTAAGATAGAAGAAGCCCTTCAAAATAAACTTATCTGCCTCGGAACCTTCATCGATATAGAGGGTGCTTTCGATAAGACCAACTTCACCAGCATTGAGTCTGCTCTCAGGAGACACGGAGTAGAGCAACAAATCATTAACTGGACAGTTAACATGCTTCGCAATAGAATAGTTCGAGTAAAAGGTGAGGACAGCAGAGGAGCACTGGTGGCACGAGGATGTCCGCAAGGAGGGGTTCTTTCGCCACTTCTGTTGAACCTCGTAGTTGACGACCTGCTGACCAAGCTAAACTCGAACCACTACTACACCATAGGGTATGCAGATGACATTACTATACTTACCCTAGGCACCCACGCCAGCATTACCTGTAACACCATGCAAGGTGCTTTGAAACTGGTTGAATGCTGGTGCAGGAAATACGACCTCACAGTTAATCCAACAAAAACAGAGCTGTTAATGTTTACAACCAAACGTGACGTAGGTGCTTTCAACTTGCCGAAGCTGTTTGGTATCACACTACAACTGTCGAAGGAGGTAAAGTATCTAGGCCTTATACTTGACAGTAAGCTAAACTGGAGTAACCATGTGGAACACAAAATCAAGACAGCCAGCGTAACACTTTGGCAATGCCGTCAAATGTTAGGGAAGCGCTGGGGCCTTGCACCAAAACTGTTCCAATGGTTATATTACACAGTCATACGACCAATGGTAAGTTATGGCGCCATCATATGGTGGCCGAGATCTATCCAGACTACTTGTGTCAA